TTTTGTCATTAAAAGAGTGAAAATCTTGTATCACAATAATTAATAATGGTTTATTTCCTTGATAAAATTTACGTATCAATAGAAATACCTATTATCACTTAATATCAATAACGTTCTACGGTTAAAATAATGTATTATAAAAATTTATTGCATCTTATTTAAAAAATTGTGACCGATTCATTAAGAATTCTAATGAAGGCAGTCGCTAGGAATAACCATGTTTATTTCTCCCTCAAGTCTTTCTATAATACCAAGACAGCTTGCTTTTGCAATACCGGCAAAGCATTGTACACCTCAAATAATAAAGACAACAGCTGCGGACCTGAATGCAAGAACCGCAAACTCCCCGTTGGGCTAGATTGCTGATGCGACTTGACGTTCACTTATTTGCATCGCATAATTGACAATACCGCTATTCGTCAGATATTCTCTGCTCCTTTGCTCTTCCCCGTCGATTCCTATTTCACTTCGCACCTTTGCAGTTCTAACGATCCCCGATATCTTTTACCCTCTGACAATATACTTCACGCTCGCCTGTCTCTCCATGTTGCATCTCTAACGAGTAAGGGAGAAAGCTTCTTATCGTATCGCATAGCGGATACGTATCTCCGGTGCGATTTAAAGTTTTTGAGTGAACGTGGAAAAAGAGCTGTAGTAGACTCGCGTAAGTCGCATCAAAAATGAATATCTTTCTTCCTGGGACCGGAAAGACGGGCTGAAAGTAACGAGCCCATCTTCTCAAACCACGTGGTGCTTCAATTATTTATGACGTCTTGTTGATACTATCCTACACTAGTCAGTTACGCTTTTCATTGTTCTCTCTATACTACTTATCGACTTATCCTCTTTTTCTTCCTTGTTTTTGAAACATTAAGTTGTGCATTGAAGGTTTTTTAACTTTTGCATCGAACATACGTTTTACCTATACAAAGTATACCAAAGTTCATAAGCTTACATATGAAATAATCACACATATAACAAGTAAATTAAATTAACGTTATTAACTTTCCAGAGTTAACGGTGAGTCTATATTGAACCCACTCAATTATATCTCTCCGGAGCTGAAAGTTGTCTATTGGACTTAATTAAATTCTTTGTGTTACATTTGCAAATTTGAATAATTGTTAAGATAAACTTGATTTAATTTATTGATTTTCATGTGAGTTATGTCATTTTTTGAAATTAATTAATGCTTTTAATCAACATAACTTAAATAGGTCTCACAGACCCAGCGTCAGTAACTAAATTACAGATTTCGACGTAAACTTTGAAGAATTGACGCGTCATATCTTATATTATCTTAAAAATAAATAGAATAATGACAGAGTTATATTTTATCTGTAAACGAAAACCGGCCATTTAAAGTTCTTTATTTGAGAAAAGCATTGTTTTTCATAAAAGATGTTACAAGCGACCAAGTTCGTATTCTCTACGGGACGTTAACGGCGTCGTAACTCGGTTCAGAAGTTAAATCCACGCGACCGGATTACGGAAAGATGTATGTCCTCTCGGACACCAATGGAGTTCGAAGAGGATCGCGCGAGAGGCGATCGGATCTGCGACCCGTCGAAGCCTGCAAGCCGCAAGCAATTAATTCATAAGCGTACGCTCGACACAATGGTGAACTATGGTAGTACGTATCCGTCTCTTCGCACAACAATGCCACACGAGCATCCGCACGTTGCGCGAATTGTATCAAGATTCGAATGAGCCAATACAGTGTGATAAAGGAACCTAGGTCCCTAGGAGGCGAAAGGTATTACCACACGGGAATACACGTCTCTGTGATTGTCTCGTTGATATGTTAATTAACGTTATTGATGTTAAGCAAGACTGCTCCGAGTACTCAATATGACTATCTATTAATCCTGTCGAACCACGATGCAGAATCGAGGTTGCGTTAACCGATTGTTTCGACAGTCAAATTGCATTATCCGGCAAAATGCAATTGATACGCCCTGCACCAAATCTCCATGTCTGATAACGGATTTTCGTATGAAAACGGTTGAGTAATTGATTCAATTTTTAATTATCGCAGATTCTTCTAGCGACGCCAGCAAATTATTAAATGTCAACCTGTCAATCTCTTTACAATTATCATATACATTTTAACAGTATAACGATAATTCTTAAATTTTCTATCTATGCTAACAGCATAGATAGAAAATTAAAGCCTGTTATTACAGCATTATTATAAAACATTAGATATATGGGGGGCAGAGGATTTTATTTAGGGGCAGAAACCAAATTTTAGAATCGAGACTTTTAATCCGAGGAGAGAGAGAGAGAGTAGTCAATGGATTATTTATTGAACTTATTTTGTTTTATTTTACGATTTTTAATTAACTATTAGTTGGCACGTAAATAACAAAATCGCACACATTTATAATTTACTAATTTACTTTTATTTTATTTTTCTCTTAAAATTAATCTTCAAACTGAAAAAAACTTAATTTATAACACTAGTCGTTTTGGATTCTCAAAAAATCTTTTTATAACTTTTACTTCTAATTCTTTCTTCTCTTTTCCAAAATTAATTTTTTGTAAATATTTGTTAAGCATAACCCGTTTAAGCAGTTTTTAATATTTTTGTTCTTTAAGCTTTAGAATTAGGTCATGGCTCTCCTTGCCCCTTCTTGGCTACGCCCATGGATATACGTAGGATCTAATAAATATCAATTGGTAGTAATGTAACGCGCACACAGTGTGATAATTTCCTACTCAACAGTGGAACTGTTACGTACATGTATTATATTACAATTATTATTGTATAGGAAATTATAATATTGATATAATATTACCGTTAGTGTTTATCAGGAAGGGAGGAGATATATATTTCATATATTCTCTCTGTTGGAAGCTCATCATTGTTGCAAAATTTTCTGGAATCTCGATAGGTAACAATTAACCAAGTGTAGCATAGCGCATTTACCGGGTTTCCCTCTTGCGAAGGTGAGCCGAGACGGCAAGTCTGATTGAATCACCGTGATTCCCTCGTTGCGTATTACGCGTTGCGTAACCATCCGATTCCATCCTGCTTATCCACCCCTCATGAGTTCTCTCATTTCATCCCTACCCTGAGAATCCTAGTCGACGACGCCTCGGGAAAACGAATCCTTTGAAGTCGTCCGTAATCGAAGAAGTAATTTCAGCGCGACCCTCGCCGGCAATCGTTTTTCCCCGGTCGCATAGGATCGCGCGTCTACCTCACGAAACGATATTATCTGAAGCGCCCCGTTCTTGATAAAGACAATTAGCAGCATAATTTACGCAACAACATTATGAGTAAATTGAATAGAATTGATAAAAAGTACATATTTGTATTATATTTAGTAACAATTTATGTGATTATCTATATTTAAAATATGTAATTTATTACTTATTTATTTTTCAAAAGGCTTTAAAAAATTAATATGTGTATATAATATATTCTCACACTAAAAAACGAGTCTCGTTGCATCTATTACAATTTTGATCGAGATAACCAGAATTTTTATTTGATTATGATCAGAATCTTCGTTTATTTTTAATTAGTAATTTTTCTCTCTGTGTATGTTACTTTCGGAAACTTCTGAACTTTGTGAACATTATAAAGTATTTCTAGATAAAGAAATCTTAGTACAAAAAAGAAAATTCATATAAAATATATTTTTGTACTAAATAAAGTTATATTGTTTATTTCATGTAAATAAACATATATGTATAGTGATTTTAATCGTACATTAAGGAGGAGAGAGAATCATACAAAATTCTTTGAAATTATCATGTCGTCCTACAATTTCCATTATGATTTTTAAGGGTAAATTTCAGAGTAAATTTTAAAAGAAAATCTCTCTGTGTGGGAAGTTACTTTCGTATTTTTTTTTTTTAAAGCCTTTTTATATAAGTTGCAATAGTAAAACGTAATTCGCAAACGCAGATGCAGTAGTCAGTCAGAAGAGATCAATAGTACCATTGGCGCTTCTAATTAACTATCGTTTGCAAACTACATTTCGCAATTATGACTTATATAGAGTAGCCTTTAGAAATTACACAAGTAACTTCTCATCGATAGCGAACAAATCAAAATAATAACAAATAATGTAAGCTCACTACTTAATTTGTTTCCTGATTATTAAAATTTTTTTCTTCGCTTAAAATTTCTTAATTAAGACATAATATTGAGCTAATTCTACTTAAATAAAAGTGGACATATTCTTATCAATGTCATTTACAATTTTCTTCTCTGATCTTCTTTATCTTTTCTTATATCGTGAGCTCACCGTTAAAATTACCACCGACATTTTCTCGGACGGAACCTAAATTCAATTTTACTTTACACAATCTAATTTAAGCAAAGTGAAACTCGTACTGTATGTGGCGAAACTTAGTTAACATTAAACTTCGCACACGTATTGGATTCAAAATACGATTCCTACCAAATTCGATCTGGAATAGCAAGTACAAATCTTAACATCACTGAGAATAAAATCAAATTCACGGCACATACATATATCGAAATTGAGCGTAGATGTCACTTCCTAAGTAAAACGATTTCAAAATGAAAGGCTTTCTCTTTCTTGTCGTAAGAGACTGAAAATTACGCTTATTTCCGAGATTAACAAAACAAAATTTTAATACGTAATTGTAAATAAATGCAAAGTGTACGATGAATATGCGAATAAAAACAAATGTTACTCTGACGAGAAGGCGATGCCCTCGGAAGCAGCAATTTGAATATTCCGGACTCAGGGATAGCAGTGAAAAATTCTTACCCGTGATTTCACAGTAAAATATGCATCTTTCCTAAAAAAAACTCTGCGAGACAAAATTCAACTCGTTGCAACGCTCAGCTAGAAAAATTTCTCTGCTTGCGGAGCAAGTTAAAAACTAGTAAGTGCGATGGAGTAATTGGATCGAAAATTGCCGAAATTAATTAGCGAGCGACAGGAAAGGGAGTATTAGTTTGTGCGCTTAGAGCTAATGGACAGCTACTGAGAGGTCTCGTCTTTTTGTTATAGGTGCGAGGGTGGCTGGCTTCAACTTGAGGGCAGTGCTCGCGTTTGCGGTCGGAACCAACGCTTCGACCGACCGGTCGTTCTCTTCTCGGACAAGCCAGTCGCGACTCTACATATGCAGTAAGTACAGTATTTTCATCGCTTAATTTCCGTCAGTGAACGGTTTTTGCGTTGCCACTTCGTTAAGTTCAAAGCAATAAGTTCTCTTGAGCGAACCGCCCCACAAATTATCATTAATTATTCTTTGCATAAAATATCTTAGGAGAATTTTCTGCTTTACATATGTATAGAAAATTTGAAACATTTAAAAAAACACATTTATAATAGTATTTTAATTTAATCTCAAACAATATCGTAAGCAGGAATAATCTTAAACAGATGATCTATTTTCACCGAGAAGGTCACCCGAAGATTACTTTCGTTTATCTTCTTGGAGTTGTGTATAAATATTTTTGTATAAAAAATGTTTCTTTTTAATTTCTGAAAATATAAGATTTTAGAACGATTGAGTTCATATGATATATACCTATCTATATTCTCAGAGAAAGATTTTGCTCCTTTTTTGTAGAGAACAATTATGTCTCAAATTTTGCGAATTAGTCACACACACACACATTGCTAGTAGCATTGAGAGTGGAAAACGAGGACAGACAGTAGAAGAATAGATAAAATTTCAATGGCATTACGAAATAGAAACACGTTCCGAACTAAGTACTTCTTATTATATTATTACCTCAAGTCATTGCTATTCGAGTTACTTGAACAAGTATAACTCTTGTACATCAAATTTTATTCTTAAATATCATATTAGGCAGTGATATTCACAAGATATAATTCGCACCTTCGAATCTCCGTATTCTTGCAAAAGTTTCTCGCTTTGCAAGTATCGTAATAAATCAGACTGATTTCGATAACTTGGAGAAGAAGTAAAACTCGGAATGAAGCGGCAGTAGATAGAGTATTTACACGATTCGCACCTTATAAGAAGCGATTTCCATTATCAAGTAGCCTTCTCTCACTTTATCCGCCGTTTGTACTTGAACATCAGCTCCTGAGAAGAGTTTAATTTAAATGCAAATTGATTTACCTTTGATAAAGTGAAATGGGGTTTCCTCTGTTTACTGCAAAGGCGAGAATTATTTTTTAAATTAACTTCCTTGACGACGGCGCCCATCACGTATAACCGTACTTAATTACGCTGAAACTACTGTAGAGAAGTAATAACATGAAATTAATAGCTATTCATGATCGATGTGCTCTGCAACGTTACGAGCGTCAATGGAAATAGAATGCAAATTAATTATTATGTTTTATGAAATATGTGTTACATCGATTTATTTATTTAATAGATGTAATCTTGTGAAAGATGTCAACATTTTATAATTTTGTACGTGCGCGCTTGCAACATCGTAATTTAGAATTAATTTCTGCATCAATTATTACGTTTTCTCGTATTTATCACGCTGATAATCAAATATAATTGAAATCATAGTAACTGGCAATTAATGCGAACGATCCATAAAATTTTCATCCGCTCCGACGTCGAAGTGAATTATTATGTCAGTCGTCTGAGAGAAAAATCTAAATAATTGATTGGTACATATTGTTGGGCCTCACGAGAGTCGGTAAATGGTGGAAAAGTTGCAAATTCGTTCGTAGAAAAATTCCCACGTGGCTTTCCACGCGGTGTCTCCATTATTTATGTTTCTTAATTGGCGCGTCTAGAAAAAGCGAGTTTTCTGTCCGACAACGAGAAGCTTCGTTACGGACTGCTCATTAAATATTTATGGCGAAATCAGCGTCTGCGATATCCGCGCGTCGTCAACTAAAGTCTGTATACATAAAACATCAGCAGTTTGCTACGCAACTCGTTTCTTTGATCGCGGTACAAGATTTTCCGAAGGTGTTTCCGCGACAGTTTTGATGATCTACTTTCTACTCAAAACTAGAGAGTCTACATAAACATTCAAATTTGCAAGTATCACGCGAAATCCACACATTTGATAATCATAAACATCCCTTTAAGATTTACAGTTAATTTTGTATACTTTCAGTACGTATACCGTGCACAAATTGAAAATCGAGAGTCCCGCAAAAGTAATGTGGCGTAAAATTTAATAATTTTGCTAGTAGCCGTTCCTGAAAGTAATCGTCCAATATAATGTTCAATAAATTTGAGGAAATCGCACTTGATTTCTATCGCAAGTTTCCATAATAAATTATATGCGAACGCAGCAACCGTACGTAAGATAATAATGATATTAAATAGCATCAAAGTAAAATTCGATGAGCGTAAAATTGATCGAACTTGTATGCTAAAATGTAATCCGTAGTAAAATATTTTGCAAAGAGAAGTAATCTTTTTTTTAGTTAGCAAGAACATTTTTAGTCTTCTTTTTACGTACACTTTAATGTCCAATTAATTAAGCTTTAATTAATTCACCAGACAATTGATAACAGTTTTAATTCTGGTAGTTTTGAGCACTACATGAGAAAATATGATTGTTTATATGAGATTTGTTAACAATAGAAGAACAAGAGACTTCGGGAGAAGTTGCCATTGAAAGTATTTCTGACCCGGAAATGTCTCTCGCGTTATTACTCGGCACTTTCTCAGCGAAAACTCCGAAACGCGGTTTGGTCGGTATGAAATTTATATAAGTTGGGAAGTTGAGTGTAATGTGGCAAACCCGTCGCACGCGACTGGCATAAATGTGTCAGGAATGATTTATAGCGTTTAACTTCCACTCCCGTCCACGGTAACTTCTTATATGAAAATATCTAGGAAACAAACGACAACCTATGAGCCGTGATGCTCGAAATTTATTTCAATAGGAAATTGAACTGGATATATTTATACACAAGTTTTACGCACTGCACTGGTCGAAAGAAAAGAGAGAAACATTAGAATAACAATTTGTCAAATATAAAATTTGTTTTCATTATCAGATTCTTTTTCTTTTTTAAAGAAAACGTAGAATCGTAACAGTCGAAATTTCAAAATTATCTTGCAAATGAATGAAAAAGAAACGAGGAGAAATGAAGTTTACACGGACGAGTAAACGTAGGTGGTGATATAAAATTGCGCGACAAATTTTTCATGAATTTTCTGGCTAAAAATTTCCTAGTGTCGCTTAATTGGTTAAATTAAAGAGCTACGATGAAAATTCCATCGGGCGGAATCTCAAAAGTACGCAATACACGCGAAACGTCGCATAATATTTTTCAGCGTCGCCTGTAAAGTAACGACACGTATCCAGCCGAATTCGAGGCAATAATCGGATTCCCATGAAATTTCAACGCGCTCATTTCCATAACTACGTCCTTTTATGTCACCGTGAAACATTGAAATGGACTGAATTATTCAACCGATAATACGCGGCTCATACGTGGAATACGGACGGAAACTTTGTCTGTTATGTTTCAACATATTGCATAATGCACTTTAAACTACGGCCATTGTCCACGCAGGATATAAACCGTAAAAGGTCAATATACGATCTCGGTTTATCACGAAACGGGAGTGCTTTTGAGGAAGTATGAGAGATACTCGTTTGCCTCGCTTATATTTTTCTTCTACCAATATGTCAGATTTATTCGAAAATCTCTTTTTTTTTCTAGAATAAAATATCAAACATAAGTAGCGAAATATGCAATAAAAATATTGAATAAAGTAACTGTCCACGTTTGAACGTTTACTATGCAGGTAAAACTCAGTTTATCATGTATCACTGAATAGCTTGTAATGGCATATTTTTTAACGTATCCTATTTAAAAATTTTGATGATCTATAATAAAATTACTTTTAGATTTATATCAAAATTTTT